TTATAAGAATCTTATAAATTATTCTTAAGAATCTGAATGATAAACTTAAAATTTGGCAAGTGGCATACTATAAAGCATGCTCTTTTTATGATAAGCAGTAATCTAGTTTAATATGGTACCTCAAAATGCCTAATAAATTTGCAAATGTTGTTAGTGAAATACTTTTATTCATTGTAGAATTATCTGAATTATATGGAACAAAGTTATGCTGTACTTGAATTTTTAGTCAGTTTTCCTTATGTTTAAAATGAACTTCATAATCTGATTTTTAAGCTATGTCCTATGTATAAAGACATTCAAAAATATTTTGCAGGGATATAAGTATAAAGTTGTAGGGCAAGCAGGTGGTATAGTGGTTATGGTGCTGGAGTTCAATAAGGCTGACTATGGTTCAAGTCTTGGACCTGGCAACTGGAAAATTGCACTGGGCACTTACGTGTGCCTGCCCAAAATTCTGAGAGGAAAATGGAAGAGAAGAGATTGTGGTGTGGCCACCCCCAGGGATGAGTTCTCACTTTCCCTCTCTCTCTCACTTTCTCTTTCTAGTGAGCACAAATGCTCTATGGCTTAAACATTAAAAAAGAAAGAAAGAAAAAGAATTAAGCTGTGTTTTTATGCACTTGTAGAAATGCATAAAAATTATCTCTTCATTTTTTTTCTTTCCTCATTTCATGAATGTGGGTGAATGTGAAAGTTCCTGCAAACAAACCTTGGGGGAAAATATAGATTCCTTTAGTATACTCTTCTCCTTTAGAATGCAATGGAACAGTCAACATATTCTTTAAATGATACCAACCGAAGAGAAAATAAATTTATTTGGAAAATAAATATAAGTGAAAATGTTTGCATCTGAAAATAAATTAATTTTTTGTGTATCTTTTTCACTTTTAAAGTACTTAGTTTGCTCCATTGTTGCCCCATACAGAACAAGATATATTTGCAGAAAAATCCTTTGAGGTATTATTTTTCTTTTTCTTTATTTATTTTTTACATTTTCCCACATTTACTTGACATATCAAAATATTTTTGCTCATTCTTCATAGTTCTTGACAATTATTAAATAACTTTCAAAATTTCCATAAGAACTAAAGTTTAAAGATAACTTTCAAAATATTTGTAATAATTTTGTTTGTGACTCTATAACAGAGACGTATGGTTTTAAAAATTTTTGAGAAAATATTTACATGTTAATTTCTCAAACTGTTGAGAAGCAAACACCCTGCACACAATTTACAGATGAATCTTCCCAACTCAGTTCTGCCAACCAGGTATTCTGTGGTTTATTATTTGCTGGCAAAGATCAGTCTCTTTCTTCCTTCAAAATCTTCCTCAGGGTAATCCTCTAGGTATTATTATTATTATTATTATTATTTTTATTTTTTTTTTTTTAGGTATTACTTTTTAAAGAAGAGTTATTAATCATTGTTAGATCCTTTGGAGACATATATTCAAGATCACATAGCTATGAGATATTAGAACTAATTTTCTAACTCAAGGTTTGCCAAGTTTCAAAACCTGTGGCTATTGGGAACCAGCAGTTAGCGTAATGACTATGTCGCTGGACTCCCACATAGTCGACCGCCGTTCGCATCCAGACCCGGTGCTTAAAACCCACGCCCGGCGTGTGTGCGTGTGTGCCCAAGATCCTGAGAGGAGAATGGAGAAGGGACTGCGGTGTGACCATCCCCTCTGTGGGATGATTTCTCGCTTTCTGTCTCTCTGTCTCTCTCTGTCTGGCGAGCACACGCACCCTATAGTGAAAAACCTCTCAAAACAAACAAAAACAAAACCTGTGGCTATTATAGGGTTCACAATGGATTAACACTATTAAAGATATATATGGCTTTTATATTGGAGCACAATAGGAAAACTAAAAAATCGAGAACTTAAAAGTATTAGCTTTACTGGGAACGCCAGATAAAAATAGTATAATGTTTAAATCAGACTCTAGTACCTTTTATTTTACGACACCTTATATCAGTGGGTAGAAATGTTAAAAAATAACCAGAGAAAAACATTTAGACGTTAATTCCACCACTATCTAAAAATACTAAAATTCACAGGGAAAATCGCTGATTCTGGATTGCCTGTTATTTTAGGGCTATTTCCAACCCAGCATATTGTAAAAATTTTATTTTTTGGTAATTTTATTTTGTTATTTATATTTCTGAAGTGTATATTTTGGTTAACATATATTTTTACAAAGAATTATTCATCTTTGCATCTAAATAGTGAATATATAGCTAAAGATTTCTTTTGTATTTATGTGTATAATATGAAAACTGTCACAGAAACAGTTTTCTTCATGGAACTATTCAATGACCTTATAGTAAACGCTTGTTCTTACTAAAAGCAAATTTCTTTATATGTCAAAATAATTCTCAAAATTATCATTTTGATTAATACCTATTTCCGCTCGATTTTACATAAGACCTTTTGAGAGCTGCTATTTACTTTCTAGTGTTACTTGGCTGTAAACATAGAATGCTGATGAGTACAGAGAGTATATTAAAGAACTTCCTGAATATCCTGTTAGTGAATAAAACTAAGTAGTACCTGAAATTTTTGTTTGACTCCTCTCTAGGTGGGAAAAGGGAATTTTGTTTTTTCAACTTATTATCTTTACCAAATACTGCTAGTCCTTTCTTTGATTAGTTATTTTTTCTTAACTCCAGATCCACTTAGCATAAAGTGATAGGAATAACTGAAATGAGATGTTAAGGATGCTTCTTTTTTCCCTGATTCTTTTCCTTTTCACTAAATTATCTATACTCACTGCAGGTATCTGAAGAATTTACACTGCAACTTGCTCTTGCAAGTTCTATGAATGAATAATAACTAAATATTTGTTATAATTTTGTTTGTGACTCTATACCTTTTCAAATCAGAATTGTATTTTGGGAATCACAAGTTGTTCCTTAAAGTCCACAATTACATTTTGCAATACATTATGCTTTTGATTTATTTTGTAGCCAATATTTTCAAGTCAGTGTCATGTACTGATATAGCTGCTCCATGACCCCCCAAAAGTTGCTTATTCTTTATTTGTAACAGCACATTAACTTTTCAAAATTAATGAGTTGAACTGTCCTAGACTGAAAATGTAAAAATTCTCCATCCCCAGTTCATTCCCTGGAGGAGTTAGATCATACTTGGATGACTAGATATAATTATTTGACTTATTGTTTTGGTTCACGAGATTGTTATACATTGGGAAGATTTGAATATTGGAAATTACTTTTCTTAGATTTCTTAAAATAGATATTTTGAGAGTATTTTGCTGCAAAATATAAACTACTGTTTATATACTAAGATAATGTCTTCAGAAATTCATACTGTTACTTAAAAACTAATGTCTGTCCTTGGTGCTTGTCATCACCATAATGAAATCACAAAATGTTTAGAATGTCAACAGCCTTTTTGTTTAGTAATAGTGTTTTGTCAAAGCTACTACACTGGGAATAAAGAAGGAAATAGTGTGTGTGCTTTTTTTGTTTTTAATTTGCCAAAGGGCATGTGCACTTGCTGGAGAGAGAAAAGGAGACAAAGAGAAATAGAAAGTGCACACATACACATCCATGGGGGACAGTCATGCAGTAATCCCTTCTCCTCCATTTCTCCTTTCAGGATTTTGGGCATAAATGCGTGCGAGCACACACACTGCCCAGTGTGTTTTTTAAGCCACTCAGTCCGGGGCTCGCACTGCATAGTTGGCTTTGCGGGATCCAGCCATCTAAACTACCACACCACTGGCTGGCCCGATAATATATTAAATGCCTCACTTTAATACTATTATGTCATTAGAAATCTTAAAGAATTTGTGAGTCCCTCACTTGCATTTTTGTCTTTTCATCATTATCACTCTTAAATTTCTGAAAAAATTATCAGTTGTCATTTCAAGTTCACTTTGTCCACTTTAGCTTTTTACTATTTGAACACTGTTTTGTCCTGTTTTTGTCATTTTCTTACTTATTTATAGATTCAAATAGAGAAATATGGGAACATTCAGAATAAAAAGAAGCAGTAAAATAAGTATTTCTTATGTAATCATGTTTTATATTTAGCTATAGCAACAAGAATACATTTTGTTAATGCCATATGATCTCTTCATAACTTCTTTATAACTAGAAAAGTTATTTGTTTTCAGACACCTGAAGTTGTGTTGTAAACAGAAGCTATCATTAATAACTTTGTGGAAAAACAGTGTAAAGGGAAAATATTTTAAAATGATTCATCCTTTAACAAACAAATTTAAAACTTCAAACCATAGCTCTGTAAAATAACTTGGCTATTATTGATTAATACATAAGCATCTGGTTTTAATTGCTTAACTTTAATATTCATTTTAAATTATGCATTCAGGCATTTCGTTTTTGCTTCAAATTTAGAATGAGATTTTTAAGCTGTTTGGGTTTTTTGTTTTTGGTTTATGATGCTTTGTTTTGTTTTGTTTTGAAATCTTTGTGAGTGTCCTTTATGTGTTAGTCTGTGTTATTTTTTTTTTCCTTTTCTGTATCCTAAGTAGAGAGACTGCAAATCTAATAACATAAATTCTTTTACCTGAAAACTGCTCTCTGTCAGAATCTATTATTTTTGAAATTCCACAATCAACAGGTTTATATTCTCCAGATGTTTTTAGTTCTTGTGTTTAAAGGCTCTATTAATACCATTGCTGCTTCTTTGTAATCACTATTTTTCCTAAATTGGTTTCCAGCCTTTTTACATTACTCTCAGGGTTGTTTTCAGGAGCAGTATTTTTGTTACTAGATTTTAAATGATCAAAGTAATCTCTGTATAGAAAAATATTAAAGAGTCTTAGAAATTTGAGAAAGTGTTTGCTTCTTGTTTAGAGATACTAAATAGTTGTCTGGTGTATCATACACATTTCCTTACAACAATAGTTGACATCAGTATCTTTAAAGTAATTTATATGTGATATAAAACATATGTGTATTATAAATATTCTTAAAATACAAAATTTGTTTTTATATATATTTCAGTGAAAGAATTTCTAGCCAAAGCCAAAGAAGACTTTTTGAAAAAATGGGAGAATCCTCCTCCGGTAAGAAATATTTTAATTTTTCTGCAACTTAAAAATCCTGTGTTAAGTAAAACTACAATTTCTGCCTAAGTAATTTACTACTTTAGAAATTTAAATTTTTTAGTAACATTAGTAAACATATGCTTAAAATGGGAATTTTGCCATAGAAATTCCAACTATAATCAAATGTTTGATTTATTAATTAATATATTTTTGGGGGGAGAGGTTTTTGCTATAGGGCACGTGTGCTCGCCAGACTGACAGAGAGAGACAGAGAGACAGAAAGCGAGAAATCACCCCCCAGGGGGGATGGCCATGCCGCAATCCCTTCTCCACCATTCTCCTCTCGGGATCTTGGGCACACAAGCACACACGCCCAGCGTGAGTTTTAAGCCACTGGGTCCAGGATGCAAACCGTGGTCAACTACATGGGAGTCCAGCGACATAGTTACTACGCTAACTGCTGGTCCATATTAATTAATAATTTAATGTATACTTAAATTGGAAGAGGAACTAATTTTCAGTATAGTACTGGATTGTAAATTTTGGTACTAATTCTAAGTTGTGATAAATGCTTGATATTTTATAATATCATATTAATTTTGAACTATGCCTTTGATAACATACTTATTATTACTTTATTACTTTTTTTTAATACCATTAGGCACATGTGTGCACATGAGAGTGCGCCTCCCAACGGGGCCTGCTTACACTGCAATCTGTTTTCTTCCAGTTCTTTATCCCTTCAAGAGCCCAGACCTGCATGCATATGCATAGCATATTTTTTAAGCTGTTCGAGCTGGGAGTTGAACCCTGCTTAGCTATGTGGGATCTGGTTTCCTCTGCATGCACTTAGCTGGGCTAGCCCCATAATTATTATTTTCTTAATTGCAGCACTAAGTCATATTAAGCAGTTTTAAATTCTTAATCATAAATATTTGGCTGTTAGCAACATACAAAGTATAAGGTCTTGAGGACATTTGTGGAAAATAATTATAGAAAGACCTACATATGGACATAAAAATTTTTTGTACCAAAGGGAGTTCATGTTTTAATTCCTTTTTTTAAATGAACTTTTAAAAGTCTCTTCATATACAGAAATCCCTTTATTAACACTTTTTTTTGGGTAAACTCTATACATTGAGTGCTTCAGATCTAAACTAAGATGTAAAAATTGTATATAAAAAGAGCCATTTATACTTTAAAAAAAAAACTCTTTTGTGAATTGCAAATAATGAGCCTTAATAGTAGATGATATTTCGAAATTACATTTAAAAATTACATTTTTTATTTCCCCTAACACAAACATGATTTATATCAAGTGTTTTTTCCACTAACGAATGCTAAGGTCAGCCATGATGGCACAAGTACTGGCACAGCACTCTGCAATGCTGGAGCCACATGGAGGACTGGGGTTTAGATACCTGGTTGACCTGACACATGCACATCCATGACCCTGACTGGCTATGAGGATGAGAAAGCACACACAATGTGACAGAACTTTCTCTCTTATGAAAAGAATAAAATAAATAATCTTTTAAAAAAATTAAAAGATGCACCATGCCAAGTATTAAAAAAATCAAAATAAGTGTTTTAATTGCATTACCAAGATTTAGATTTAAAATATTGTCATTAGTCATTTTGAGTACAAAATGTTAGAAATTGTGTAACACAAGACATTAAAGGAGATAAAGAAAACAGCATGTTTTTTGTTAAGCAAAGTAAAGTAATGACTAGCATAAAGAGATGTTTTGTTGTCTGTTAATGAAGTTTTTTCCATTAAATATCCTAATCCAACTATTCTGATGAAGCCAAAAAATACAAATTAATCTATAAAATTAATAATTTAATCAGAATTATAAGTGCTTTTTTATTCAGGCAATTTAACATTATTGGAAGTATGAAATTAAAATATGATAAAACAAGTTTTGTAAGTAAAACTTAGAGTTGCTTGCTCTCTCTATAATGATTTGGTAAGAAGTCGTTATATGCTCTCAAAGGCAACATTTGATTTGCAATGGAGATTAAATCAAGCTACAGTAAACCCTATAGCTAACCATACTTCTCATTCTGTAAGAATCATTTTGCATTGCATTTTTTTAAAAAGCTAAACATTGTAAGATGGGTCTTGAAAATATTTTTCTGAGATTTTCATGGAGATCCTTGTAACGAAAACCTATTAATCAAAAGGGTCAGCAATTACTACTTGTTGCTATTTAGCACATAATTTATTACTGTAATTTTCTTTTTGCTGTGGCAGCAACAGATTCAATAGATTGATGCTTCTAATTCTTTGCTTCTATGCTGCAGTCAAAGCTAAACAAAGATGTTTGCTTGTAACAGAACATCTATTCAAGAAGAAAAAAGAGTTTGGTTATTGTTCTGGGACTCTGGTTTTTGGTTCTTTGTGGAATGAAGAACTCTTCTTTCCTTCTAGCTACTCTTTTAGGTAATACTGAGTTATTATAACATCAGAGAGAGAAAGCCACTAGGATCTGTCATTCTTCTTTAATGTATAATAGCTCTGTAAGTTTATAAAAAAAAAAAAAAAAAAAAAAAAAAAAAGAAGACAGTGCTTTCTTCAGGATAATGCCAGTGAAAGGACTCTAATTTCTCAGCTTATCTGTTCATTAAAATTATTTTCAAGTGCACTAAGACTATATGACTTACATCAGCAAGTCCCAATTTTTTTGGCACCAGAGACTGGTTTCATGGAAGATAAATTATCCTCAGACCAGGGGACAGTAAGTGGGGTAGAATGAAGGATGGTTTTGGGGTGATTCAAGCACATTACGTTTATTATGCACCTTATTTCTATTATTGTTACTTTATTATATATAGTGAAATAATTATACAGCTCACCATAATGCAATATTTGCAGCAGCTCCCCAGAACTAGCATCACCACCTCAGCTCCACCTCAGATCATCAGGCATTAGATTCTCATAAGGAGTGTGCAACCTAGATCCCTTGCATGTGCAGTTCACAATAGGGTTCACGCTCCTAAAAATCTTTCATGCCACCACTGATCTGACAGAAGATGGAGCTCAGGTATTAATGCAAGGAGTGAGGAGCAGCTGTAAATACAGATGAAGCTCCCCACTGATCAGCCTCCTGCTATGTGGCCCAGTTCCTAACTAGTCTGTGGCAAGGAGTTGGGAACCCTATAACTTACATGTTTCTTTGTCCACATACTTCTAGTCAGTTTTAACTATTATGAAATGGAACTAAGTTCAATATTAAAAATGCATATTGTATTATGACCTTTAATACTTCAGCTGAAGGTCTGACTTCCTTCGATTACTGTTATACTCTGTTTTGCCATATAATGCTTTTCCCAGATATTATCTTTTCTTGCTCAGGTGGGAAATATGATCAATAGCCTGAAATCTCAGTAGTCCTTTTATATTGTTTTTTAAATAGATAGTTATAAATTAAATTTTCCTGATTATGTGTTACTAAAGCAATTGTAATTTATCATAGTCTACTTATAAGAAATTTTCATCTTAAATTTTATTTTATTTTCTTATATGTGTATAGAATAATGCTGGGCTTGAAGATTTTGAAAGGAAAAAAACACTTGGGACAGGTTCATTTGGAAGAGTCATGTTGGTGAAACATAAAGCCACTGAGCAGTATTATGCTATGAAGATCTTAGATAAGCAAAAGGTTAGTGTATTTTTATTTATATGCAGGATAAACTAGTTTTATCAGTTAGACTATTAAACAGATGCAATATAATGACTTACCATTGATACTGTCAAATAATTGTATTGTTACATTCGGTTTTTATTCTTATTTATATTAACTATGTGATGCATAGTTTTAACTATTGGTGGTACATTATTATTTCAATAATTGTTTATACATAATATATATGTACTGATATATGTTTACTAACAATATATTGAATTCAATACATTAAAAACAAATATCTTTATCATATTCTGCCTTGTAGAAAAATGCAACTGCTTAATCTTTAGCTATTTTAATTTGCAATAGGAGCTCTCTTACTTAATATGATTGTATCTGGTTAATTTAAAATGTCAGTTAAAACAGAAAATGATAAGAAATACATACTACTAAAAGTAATTTTAAAGTATTTATCTCATATTGGTTGTTATACCTAGTGAATCAGGATGTCTCATGTCTGAAATATTCATGTTTTAGATATTCAATTTCTGTTTTTCTTATAATCATTCACAATTAAGTGGGGGAAAAAGAAAAATAACAAATCTTAATTAAGGATATTAATTAAGAATGACTTTCTGGCTAGGTAGGAAAATATGCAGAAAACAGTACAGTAGTCAGGGTTACAGATAGCTAGATTAATGCAATCAATAGAATATATTATGAGCCACATACATAGTTTTGAATTTTCTAATAGCCACATTTTAAAAAGTAAAAATAAACAGTTGAAATTAATTTTAATAATATATGTTATAACCCTATGCACCCAAAATATTATTTTAGTATGTAATTAATATAAAAATATGGTAATTACATTCTTTTGTCATATTAAATCTTCAAAATCTGTTGTATTATTTATGTTTGGAGTGTCATTTGGTTCAGAATAATCACATTTCAAGTGTGAAATTACGTGTGGCTAGAGCCTACCATATTGGACAGCAAAATGTTAGACTGGTATGAAGTTCCGGTTCAACTCTAATTAAAACAAAATTAATCTGTAAAATAAAAAGAGGTACTGGCCTAAGTCTTTAAAATAAGTACACCATTTACACATTTAATGATGCATCTCTTTCTACTACTATAGTTCACATATGTTTTCTAAACATGCTTCTTGAAAAGAGAGTTTATTAACTCTACCCACTTACTTCCTATTATTTCTCCAGCCTACAACTGTGTTTGGGTGTCTCCATGTTTGTCCTCTGTCTCTTGCCACTCCACTGAAAGAGCTCTGCCAAGAGTTACCAAGGTGACTGGCTAAGGTGCCTGGCTCCCACATGGCCAGCAGCGCAGTTTGAGTCCCAGACCTGGCAGCTTGAAAAACACCCAGAATACCCCAAGTGTGTATTTGTGCATTCCCAAAATTTCTAGAGGAGGCAGAAATGGAGAAGGGATTGCAGCCACACTACTCCCCATGAGGAGTACTTTCTCACTTTCTCTCTCTCTTTCTATCTATGTCCTACACACAAATTAAAAAACAAATACTGTCTTGTTCCTGGACCTTTGAATCTCATGCTCTCTTAATTTTTCACCTGCTTCTCTGAGCTCTTCTCTTTCGTGTCCCTTTTCCTGTCTTATTTTGCTTTTTCCTGTGTCTGTTCTTTAATGATTGTTAACCACAAGGCTCTGGACTAGCCCTTCTTATTTTGTTGGTGAAACATAAAGCCACTGAGCAGTATTATGCTATGTACTTTCCCTATGTACTCTTATCTAGCAACTTCAACCCGCCCCACCCCATGTTTCATGACAATGGTGTGAGTGCACAGAGACAGAGACAAAAGAGAAACAAACAGCGAGGAGGAGGAGAGAAGGGCGAGGGGCCCACCCTCCACGGGGTCTGATCACACTGCATTCCCTTCCTCTAGTTCTCCCGTCCTCCAGCCCACTGGATCTTTGGCACTCTGCCTGGCATGTCTCAGGCTGATGGGGCTGGAGATTCAAACAGTGGTTGCCACATGGGATCAGGTTCTCTTGACCAGTATATTACTGCTGCCCACAAAGCCTGCCCCTTCAACTCTTTGCTGAGCTCGTCACTCCTCATTTGTACATTCTCATCATTTAGCTCTTAGAGATCATCTAGTTCTTGCCTTCATTTTCTAGATGAGGTAACTGGGTCCCAGAAAGAAAGTGACTTATATCCCTGCATTGGTGGAGGTTCTTATTTTCCATTTATTTATTTATTTATTTATTTATTGTAAGACATTCACTTCATGGATAAATCATGGCAAATTTTTTGTTCCAAAAGAATAACTGTCATTTTAAGCCATTTCTATTATTCCAGTGGTCTGGATTTTTGCACAATTAGGACAAAAGACTTTATATTCTGAAATTTTTTCAAGTTCACTTCGCATTGCTAAAGATAAGTAACTCTCCACAATAATCCTGTCTTATAATGGAACCATACATCTTTCTATTAAATGTTTGGCTTTTCCCACCTTAGGGTATATGTGATTAGAGGAAGAAAAAGGTATAGTACAGGCCAGCTCGGTAGTCTAGTGGTTAAGCCAGATCCCACATGACTGACTGTGGTTTGAATCATGGTCCTGGTGGCTTGGAAAACATACCAGCCCATGTGTATACATGCCCAAAATTCCACAAGATGGAGAAATGGAGGAAAAGGGACCGCCCCATTGAGGGGTGCTTTCTCCATCTCTCTGTCTGTCTCTTTCTGGTGAATGTATAGACCCCCTAATAAGAGAGAGAAAAAGGAAGGAAGGGAGCAAGGGGAAGGGGAAGGGAAGGGAAGAGGAAAGGGAAGGGGAAAGGGAAGGGGAAAGGGAAGGGGAAAGGGAAGGGAAGGGAAGGGAAGGGAAGATATATATATTGTATCAGTGAGTCTTCACATTTTTCCGTGTCAGTAACCTCTCTATTTAAATGATGTTTTCCAAACTCATACAGTAAGAAGAGCCAAGAATTTGATCTGGGTTTGTCTGATTTGTATGCCTTTACTTCTTGTTATTTTTCCTTAAAATTATATTTATCTCTAAGGTTCTTTCTACCACCACCTTAGTTTGATCCCAAATTAGCATCATCTGGCCTTTCATAATAACATCTTATTTTTTATAACCCCAGACTTTTTACCTTCTACTAATTCATCCTCCTCACTGCCAAAAAAAGGGTGTTTTGTTTGTTTTGCTATAGGATGCATGCACTCACAAAGAAAAACAAAGACAGACACAGAGAAAGGGGGAAAGTAGAAATCACCCCCCAGGAGGGATCGCCTTGCTGCAATCCATTCTCCTCTATTCTTCCTCTCAGGATTTGGGGCACACACACGCACACATGCTTGGCATGTTTTTCAGCCACTGAGTGGGATTTGAACCATTCATTTGACCTTATGGCATCCAGCTGCTTTAAGCACCATGCCACAGGCTAGCCTCAAAGTTTTCTTAATATGTTATTTTCCTCATTCACTCAAGAAGCTTCATGATGTTTATCGTTTATTAATGAAGTCAGAGCTGTGCTGCCTACTTTCAAACCCTTTGTCATTAGCGGTCTGTCCACTGTACTCCACTGGCTTGAAATTTGATTCTAGGTTCAAGTATACAAAAACACAAAACATTTATTTTAAAGCTAATGTAATGTAATTTTATTGTGATAATTACAGCCAGTTAGAGGAATGTATAGTGCTATCCTGAGTGTGGTAGGAGGTGATGTATGGTTGTTTTTCCGGACTGATAACTCCTCAAGTATTTGGCTTTAAAAAACAGTCTAATAATAAGTCACATATAAATTATTTTTAATATATATATATATGTATGTGATGTGAATTTTGAAAATGAAACATGGATTACATTTCCAGAAATACTTGTTAATTTTCTTCTGTCATTTAGGAATAGTTCTTTAACAAATTTTTAAAAGTACTGTCATAAACGCTAGTCAAATGGAACTACTACTCAAACTTACCTTTGTATTATGTTTCTTCTTCAGGTTATAATGTTCTGGATATTATCCCTGACTAGATTTTTCCTCTATCTTTCCTTAAACTTTGCTGTCTATCTGCGTTTTAAGACAAAGCTGAACTCTCCCCTTTTTAAGTAAATTATGTAACAAATGCATTTACTGAGCTTTTACTTTGTGTCACTGTGTTAATCACTGTGTTGTGTTAACCATATCACATGCATTATGTCACACAGTCACTATTTTTTAAATTAAATTAAATTAATTAATTTATTTATTTTTAATTTTACTAGAGAGAGACAGAAAGAGAGAGAGAGAGAAAGATAAGAAAACCAGTTTTTCTTCTTATAAATGACAAAAGTCATGGACAAAAACAAAAACAAAAACAAAAACAAAACAAAAAGCACAACATTATTTTAAAAAGTATATCAATAGATATATTTTTTTTTGGGGGGAGAGAAATTTTTGCTATAGGGTGTGTGCATTCGCCACAGAGAAAGAAAACAAGAAATCACCCCTCAGGGAAATGGCCACACTGCAATCCCTTCTCCTCCATTCTCCTCTTGGAATTTTGGGCGCACATGTACATGCATGAGTTTTAAGCCACCAGGTCCAGCACTCAAACTGCGGTTCGACTATGTGGGAGTCCAGCAATGTAACTGCTACACTATCTGCTGGTCTCACACAGCCACTTTTAAAATAGGTGTTATTACCAGTATTTTATAGATAAAAAAATTTCAGACTCAAAGATTATGTATTGCAAAAAAAACATTATGTATTGCGCCTCAAGCAATTATCTTCTCCTGTGAACGTTTATGACATCTTAACTCTCATTTGGCAATTATTCATATATTGCTATTGGCATATCCATACATCATGACTCCAAATAGATTTTATGCAGTATGAAAGCAGACACTTTTTCATCCTTATCTCTGTAGCACCTATTTTATGCCTTATATGCAGTAGAAATGCACATTTAAAAATAAATCACGGAGACCAGCAGATGGTGAATGGTTATGTCGAATGCAGTTTGAATCCATACCCAATGGCTTGAAACTCATGTTGGGTGTGTGTGCGTGCCCAAAATCCTGAGAGGAAAATGGAGGAAAAGGGATTGCGGTGTGGCCATCCCCCCTGGCGGGGGAGAGGGTGCTTCTCGCTTTCTGTCTCTATGTCTCTCCCCTCAAGCACACATGCCCTATAGCAAAAATCAATTAAAAGGAGATTTTAAAAAGTAAATTAGAAGTCCAGCAAGTGGTGTGGTGGTTATGGCATTAGACTTCCACATGGCCGACAGTGGTTCGAGTCCTGGACCTGGCAGCTTGCTTTCTCGATTTTTTTCTGTTTCTCTCTGTTGAGTAAACATGCCCTATAGCAAATTAAAATAATATAATAATAATAATAATAATAAAATAAATGAATAAAATCAGGTAAAAGTAAATTATATTTTAATTAGTTAACTTAAAATTTAATTAAGCATATTTTCTTTGCCAATTCATGAATCTGGATTCAATTTTATTTTTGATTGAATTATTTTCCCACACACAAAATTGGATTTGAACTATAATACAGAAAGCTTCTGTTGTAGTTTTGATTACCTATTTCACCAGCTAACACACTGTTTATGCCCAGTGAAGCAAGCCATGCTATGAAGGAGAGGCATTGTATGTCCTCAATTAATATATACCGAGTGTCTGCACTCTGAAATATATATATAGGAAACCATACTGCTTCTGTTGTTAAAGAGTTATAAAATTATACAAAATTATAAGACATATTTTGAACATTATCTTTAAAATTCAGTATTTTGAAATTTTGAAAGTTGTCTGTAAACTGTCAAGAATTATGGAGTATGAGCTAAAATTTTTTGCTATGTAAAGTAAAAGTTTGTGGAAAAATGTAAAAATAAATAAATGAAAGAAAAAAAAACCCTACATCATAACATACTAAAGTAAGCATAAAGCAATGGTAATTCTCAGCTAGTATTATATAAATTATTGTGATAATTTTGGACTCATTGGTTCCATAAGTAGTTAAAATTTGGATGTTATTGACCCAACCACTTCATGTTATAGGTTTTTTAAAATAAATGGGGAGCTACCTGGTGGCATGGTAGTTAAGGTGGCATGGTAGTTAAGGTGGCTGGATCCCCTATGGCTATCCGCTGTTCAAATCTCAGACCCAGTGGCTTGAAAAATACATTGGGGGGCTGGTGGGTGGTGTGGTGATAGGAGTGCTGGACTCCCACATGACTGACCACGGTTTGAGTCCTGGACCTGGTGACTTGCTTTCTTACTTTCTCACTCTCTCTCTCTGGTCAAATTAAATAATAATAGTAAAAATAAATAAAGCTTAATAAATAATTCTTTAAAAAAATACACTGGGTACGTTCGTGCCCAAAATTCTGAGAGGGAAAGGGTTTGCACCATGGCCATACCTGAAGGAGTGGATGGGGCAGTGCTTTCTTATTTTCCTCCCTCTCTGTCTCTTGTGAATGTGTGTGCCCTATGGGGGGAGATACAGAGTTGAAATGACAGCTCCAAAGTCACAAAGCTGGTTGAATAGAAGGCCTAGATTAGGACACAGATCTTACTCCTAGTCAATTATTTGTTGTTCAATATTATTGATATACTCCCAATTTTAAATACCAGTAGATGGCTGATATCTTTAATTATCTTTCTTATTTCTGTTCAATTTCTTAACTTCTATGACTGCCCCACATTGACAATAAGCTTCTAGCAAGAAAACAATGCCACCTTCTAATGATTTACACATATATAAGGCCATTTTTTTCTTAAATTCAGATAGACTCAAGGTCTTCATGAATTAAAGAAAAAATTTTCCCCCTTCTATTAAGTAGACAGTCCAGAGGAAGCACGTTTTAAAAAGTCCTAAATAAATTCTTTGTGATAAAGGCGTAGTTTTGTTAATATTTTGTGTTTCCTCTTCTCTGGCTGTACTAGTTGAACTTTTAGAATTTGTATCTATATTTATCCAAGTGTTATTAAATGAACACAAATGTTACTTTCTACCTGCTGTTTTCAAGTATTAACGTATTCTTAATACTTAATTTCCTTACTGATTTTATGAAGTATTTAAAATTAATACCTATCAATACCTGCTGTGATTTGGGCCAGCTCCTTTAGTACACTATATGTCACTAGGATTTTCACATATTAGTATCTTAAGTTATTTTTATGGATCTATTTTTTTCTACTTCGCTCTTCTTTCTTAACTGAATCGTAATTGACCTTCTTAAGACCAAGATTTAGATTCTTTATTGTTTTTCATTTGAGTCTGATAAGCCTCATTGGTGATTATTATTATATTCCTTACCCCAATCTAGCAGTTTTGCATATTTAAGCTCATTATAATATAGGAAACATTTTTTCTTTAAAAATTATATCTTTAAAATTTTATTCATATACATTAAAATATATTATCTCTCAATTACAGGTTGTTAAACTGAAGCAAATAGAGCATACTTTGAATGAGAAAAGAATATTACAAGCCGTGAATTTTCCTTTTCTTGTTCGACTGGAGTATTCTTTTAAGGTAAATTTTAGTAATATCTAAATAAATTTTTTTTAATCTGATACAGCTTTTAAAATAAGAATCTCTCATATTCTGGAGAATATGAGTCTGGCTCCTTTGCATAGTGGTTAAGGGAACCTGATCCCAGATGGCCTACTACTGTTCAAATCCCAGTCCTGATGGCTTGAAAAACATGCCAGACACATGTACGTACATGCTCAAAGTCCTGATAGGATGGAGAAATGAGGAAAAAGGACTCTGGAGTGATCACAGTCCATTGGGGGTTTCTCTCTCTTTTTGTCATTGTTTTTGGTGAGCACACATACCCTATGGCAATGAAAAAACAAATCTGGAGAATATAAGTAAACAAAAAAGAATCATCATTAGATTTGATACAATTAAATGTGATACACAGATAACATTTTAAAAGAGTTGGCGGGAGGCAACCCATGGTTTGGTAGCTAAGGAAGCTGGATCCCACGTGGCTGGCCACATGGTTAGAATTCAGGACCCAGCAGTTTGATAAACATACTGAGCGCATGTGCCCAAAATCCAGAAGAGAGAGGTGAAGGAAAAGGGAGGATAGCATGGCTGTGCATCATAAGGTTCCTTTCTCCCTCTCTCTGTTTCTGTCTGGCAAGTGCACTTTTGCCCTCTGGCAAAATGTTGGTTTTTTGTTTTGTTTTGTTTTTAAAAAGGAGGGTTTTATTCTCTCTGGGAAAATTGTTGAAAGTGATGAGTATCATGAAATGGTATTACAAAATCAAATATTTCAATTTATCAAAAAATATAGAGATATCTTATTAAGCATTTCTTACACTGTTGCAGTAAATATACTCAACACACCTAATACTTTTCAAATTTTTCTACTACAAGCTCACCTTCTTTTACTTAGTAATTTGTATTCTAGTCTTTTCACATATACAAGGTCAACCGGTCTGTGTTCACTGTTCAGATATATGATAACATTGTACAGGATTTATTCTTTAAGTGAAAGCTTTTCATACTTTTGAAATTACCAGTGACATATGTCTGAAATATTGACTCATGTGAAATATTTTAACTTTTTCCCACTTTTTAAAAATTTAAATGAAGACCTACGGACTTAAGACTCTGTTTTACATAAATGTATTTTTCTTATTAACTTTTTCACATTGTTTTCTAAGTTTGTTATACCTTTGTATACACTATAGTATTATGTCATGACCTCAATCTTTACTTGTTCAAGAATTCCCTGAAAGAACAAGAGCAAGGACACACCAGACTGGACCCAACAGCAGTAGAAATTACGGATGCTGCTACTCAGCAGGCTCGGGTCATGTGGGAGGTCTGGCTTTGATTCCAGGCCCACTCGGAGAGCTGGGGATGGTAACACACACCTGTAGTCCCAGCTACTCAGAGGACTGATTCAGAAGGATCTTCACATAGCAAAACCCTGCCTGAAAAAACTCCTCTGACTAATCTGTTGGATTTAAAATTTATCTTTTTCAAATTGAGCATGGTTATAATCTTAAAATATTTTTTACCTTGGTCTCGAAATTTTGATTCATTTCCTTTTTATTTACTCATAGGATAATTCTAATTTATACATGGTTATGGAATATGTCCCTGGGGGTGAAATGTTTTCACATCTAAGAAGAATTGGAAGGTTCAGGTAACTAACGCTTTGGACCTTGTCAGGTCTTTATATGCTTGTGTTGTTTTAAACCAAATTTTTAAATTATTGCCAACATTTCTTTTAATTTAATTAACTATATTTTAGCTATATGAAGTACTAGATATTAATAAAAACATTAATAAGAGGCCACACCATACATGAATTTTAAATAAAAAAGTACTGTGAAACTGTGAAACCAACATAAATATTCTACCATTGGCAGATATTGTGAAGGTCCATTATTTGATGAGTTGCTAGAAAGTGCAAGCTTAATTGAATTCTAAAATATTAATATTTACTGAACAAATAATAGCACAACTCCAAGGCAGAAGTTTTCATAAGGATAAAGATGAGAAAGAAATTTATATAGAAATTAAAATCATGGTATTATGGTAATGAGATTATAAAAATTTGTTTTTCACACATTTATTTCTCCTTAAAGTTATTGCTGAGTTATAAAATATATTCACAATTCAAGAGTTTGTACTTTATCATTAGGTTATTACTAGTAAGATCTCATAGTTCTTAAACTAGGTTAGAAATGTTGATAGCTTCACCTGTGTGTAATAATTTGTAATCTACTACTATTTATTAATAACCACCAATAAAGCTAAAACCAAGAACCAAGGTCCAACTATGTTTAGTTTATTATAATATGGCATAATTAAAACAATGTGAATTCAGACAGAGTTTATGATGGTAATTTGATTCATAAAGAGATGACGATAGACTCAGATGATCACAAGATGATACCAGGGAATGGGCAACACGAGAGGTCTATGCTTAACTTTATTTATTGATCTAGGAACCACCAGTTAGCATAATGGTTATGGACTCCCATGTAGTTGACCACGGTTCGAGTCCAGGACCCAGTGGCTTAAAAACTCATGCCGGAAAAAAAAAAACAAAACAAACAAAAAAAAAACTCATGCCGGGCGCGTGTGCATGCGTGCCCAAGATCCTGAGAGGAGAATGGAGAAGGGATTGTGGTGTGGTCATCCCCCCTGGGGGGGTGATTTCTCGCTTTCTGTCTCTCTCTCTCTGTCTCTGGCGAGTGCACACGCCCTATAGCAAAAACCTCTCCAAAAAAAAGAAAAAGAAAAAAAAATATTTATTGATCTGCAATAATATGCACAAGACACCTAATATGTGACAGGCATTGTGCTAGTGTGAATTAGTTTCTGTTTATCTTTGATCATTTTCTTTCATCTTTTCTTGTCCTCTTCTACTACCCCTTGTCCAAACAGTCCCCATATCCTTGTATTTGCCCTATTGTTACTCAAAGTTTAACACTGATCTACCACAGCCTTAGCCTGTCCTCAAAAAATAGTCGAAATGTTTCCTATAATTACTTCCTCCTTTTATTGTGACTCCTCACATTCTTCTTCCTTTAACTCAACTTTGTATTGTGAGGAAAACAAGTCAACTGAAATCATTCACACTGAGATGCTGTCTCTCTAACCGTTCACACACACTACATATATACTTGAAGGTTGCCAACTCTCATTTTAGAAACTTTGAGGCAAGAATATGCATTAACGTTTAGCACAGCTTTAATTAGAATCAATGGAGTCATTATGATTTTCTACTTAAATAGCAGATGTCAAGAGTTAAAGCTGCTACAGCATTAAAACTTGCACTACCTTAAACATTAATAGAAATACCCAATAATAAATTGCACTTAGAATATTTTTATATCACCTTTCAACGGTTTGATTATAGATTTCTGTAATATCTGTTTTTCTCTAATGAAACACAAGTGTGTGGAAATAAATGTAAGCTGGAGAGTGCATTTTATATTTATAGGTGTACAGAGACAGTAGGGGGACCTGCCTTGTTACATGTTTCTAAGTTTAAGATTAAATGTTGCCATGACAGGATGATTCTCCCTATCTCTGTTTACAATATTCTCATTTCTTGTCATTTCACATACCACATAGTGTTACAGTGTTGGGATAGGGCTGAAGCTGAAATGGTATTATAAAATGTTGCCCCCCAAAAAGTATTTTTCTTTACATATTCATTTATCCAACAAAGATTTATTGAGCTCCTGATGTGGAGCAAGCTAGGACATGGACAATGTAGTGACAAGCAAAAGGAACAGAATATGTAATGGTTTGGATTTCTGTTTTCGATGCTCCTGGATCAAACTCATCTCAACCATCATAAGGGAAATCCTATCAATAGTTAAGATGGTTCTGTAAGGATGCAATTCCAAAAGTCATTGCAATTTATCAGGCAGAGTAGCAGAATTCAATAGTACACTAGAACAATTAGAAACTCAAGTTAGACACTGGTATATCTTTTTGGAATAATACCCAGGTTGTGACACCAAAACTATTGATTTATCAGTTGACCTAATCTGTGCATGCAATAACTGTACATGTTTATACAAATATACAGGTTAAAGCTGTATCTGTGTCTCTAAACATGCATAGTAGAGGACTTGGAAATCCACATGCCAAGAGTATATCTGCAGTTTCTGGATGAGATTATAGGTGTTCTTTATTCTTCACCAATATTTTATGATACTCTTTCTCTAACGAGCATATGTCATTTTTATAATAGAAGCTATCACAAAATCAGTAAAATGGCATTAATCTGCAGGTTAGTACAGTTAAAGAACTTCTATGTAGTGAAATTCTCTAAGCATTTGAAATTTGTCAAAAAAGTACATGGTGCCTATTAATTCTAGTAATGACCCTAATAGACAGTCCACTTGAAATACTGCTTTTCAATCACTTACAAGTTCATACATCATTACAAAGACATCAATATATCCTAATGTGGGCAATGATAATTTACAATAAGATGACAGTTTTAGGATTGTGTTTTTCTTCAACATATGCTGCCCTCTAAATGTCCTAAAGCATTATTTAAAGACATTTCGAGATTTACTAAGTATTTAGAAACAAATTCTCTACCTGTATTTAAAAGAAAAAGTACTTTCCACTTGTAAAATATCTCTACCCATTTTAATTTTTGTGTGTAATCTACTAATTAGTATGTGTAACCATTTTACACAAAACCTTTTTTTGCTTGTTTGTTTTGCAGTGAGCCCCATGCACGTTTCTATGCAGCTCAGATAGTGCTAACATTTGAGTACCTCCATTCACTAGACCTCATCTACAGAGATCTAAAACCTGAAAATCTCTTAATTGACCATCAAGGTTATATCCAGGTATGACTTGAGCACATTGTATATAATGTATTTGAAAAAATACTAGGCAAGAAGTTGTATATATTTAACCTTGTCATTGTTGGATTTCTTTTGTTGTTGTTGAGGGAGACAATAATTTCTTCCTAGCAGCTTAAATTGAGTTCCTTCACTGTTATGAGAAGGAAAACCCATTAAGAAGGAAGCCTATTTAGATTTCTCAAATTCATAGTTATAGCCTGGGTATAGGTTTCTGCATAAGAAACTAATATTAACTAAATTTTTGAGTACACAGTGGTACCAGGCATATCCAAATGTTTTTACATATATTATCTCTTGCAATCTTGATAATCCTATGAACTATAAACACTATTGTCCTTGTATGAAGGTTAGCAAAACTAAAGCATAGCAAGGTCTCACAGGCACTAAATTTGGACGGGCAGTCTGACGCCTCACAGAGTCCTTTCGCTTTATCACTATGTTTACAATATAGTGTCCAAAGGACCCTTGACTACCAATACTGGGCTGGCAGCAATGCCTTCTTTCCATATCTACTAGGAAATGAGTGGTAGCTTCATGTTTTACAATTATCAATAGCTCTCTCCATTTCTCACTTCTAATGGTATAGTTAGTGGCAGAGGGCACATCAGACTTAAGGAATTTTACCATTGTTTCCTTTTTATTTAAACTTGATTTTTACCTTTTATTCACTTTCTATTACTTGTATCTGGAATATTTGATAATGAGCAAAAAAGGTTTTTTTTTTTCTTTTTTTTTGTTTTGGGTGGAGGAAGGGATTTCCAACTTGGTTGTCTTAATCTTCATTAACTGCAATAGTGGCCTTCATGAGTTAGCCTCATTTACATTGACTTATTTTTCTTATCATTTTTCATGGTTTTAATTTTAACCCTAAGTTTTAAACTTTCATTTGGGTGCAATAAATGCATTTATTATGATGTAATACATTTTCACAAGTAATACATTTTCACAATACATTTTTTTTTCCTTTGTAGGTGACAGACTTTGGGTTTGCCAAAAGAGTTAAAGGCAGAACCTGGACATTATGTGGCACCCCAGAGTATTTGGCTCCAGAAATAATCCTGAGCAAGGTATATTTATGATGTCAATATCTGAGAAGTAGAAATAGGTGTCATGCATCACCGTAGATTTTTGTAAAAACAGTTTATTTTTCTAATGAAAAATTTCTTATTTGATCTAAGTTATGATTTAAATCTATTTGTGCATGATTACTAAAGAATAATTATTTAGTCCACTACTTGTCCCATAACCTCTGTTAATTCTAATTCTGGGTCTTAAAGAAATAGTGTGACTAAATCTTACCACTTGATCTGTGTTTTAAAGCCAAGAACATAGTCTTATCATAATTGCTCCCAATTCTGGGAGGGTAGGGAAGCCTTGCTCTGGATTACACAGAGGGGCAGACCTAGAGATGGTGTGCTGCCTTAGTTGTCAGTTCTATCATTTCAGATTTACTGCTTAAATGAGAAGAGTGTGTGAGAATGATTTTAAATTTTAGTTTAATAGTATTATTACACTCATCGTTATAGGCTTACTTAGGGCAGTTCTTCTCTTCCAAATAGCGAGATGTGGTAAGAGAAACTGCAACCATATCTTACAGAACAGTTTGGTTTCTCATGCCTTTTCCCTTGCCATCCTGCTTGGCGGGAAAAACCAGAATGGATAAATTAACAATCGCTTGGCACAACTGAGAGCGAGAAAAGGGAAATGGAAAAGACAGGTGACTAAATAGTTCACAAACCAAATAATTAAGATTTGAGTATAGAAACATTAGGGGGAAAGAAGTAAGATTTCTTGGGGACAGGGGTAGTGTTGCTTGACCTACATGAGAAAGGTCCTAAAAAAAAAGGAAAAGAAAGGTCCTAGGTTCATGTCTCAAAATCTCCCTGAGCACAAAGGTTACACATGTGCTCATGAGTCAAGGCCGACCAAGACTGGAGTGGATGGTGGTGAGGGACTCCTGTTGGTAGCTCCTAGCACATGTGCTTATGGTTTCTATTTCTCTTCCACTCTCTATCTGTGTTATCTATGAACCTCACATGGATGAAATAAGTAATTTTTTTTAAAAAAAGAAAGAAAAAATTATTTATCTCATCCTTACTGATTAATCTGACATAATTCAAACCATATATAACATTTTAGTCATTTATAATCTAGATAATGCGCTCGACACATATCTTCCTCTTAAGAACACTTAAATAACGTGACCACAAAATTAGCACCAAACTTTTAATAATGTGTATATATTGTTAAAATAATAGATTTTCATTGTCCAAAATGTGGAAAATTAGAGAGACATGAAAAGAAACAACCAGGGGCCAGCAGATGGAGGAGCAGTTATGTTGTTGGACTCCAACATAGCTGACCCAGGTTCGAGTCCCAGACCTGGCAGTTTAAAACACACAAATAGGGACCAGCAGATGGCATAATAGTCATGTTGTTAGACTCTCATTTAGTGGACCTCAGTTCAAGTCCTGGACCTGGCAGCTTAAAATTCTCACTGGGTTTGTGTGCGTGTGTGCCCAAACCCCTGAGGAGAAAATGGAGAAGAGATTGGGGCATGACCTTCCCCCCCACCCCCGGGGGGGGCGGGTAATTTCTCGCTTTCTATCTCTTTGTCTTTCTCTCTCTCTCCAGGTGAGCACATGCACGCTATAGCAAAAATTCCTCCAAAAATAAAAAGAAATGACCGAAAATCTTACAATCCCACAACCCAGAGGCATTCTTTTCTTAACAAAAACTTTTTTGATGTATCTTTTGGCATATTATCATAATTGAGATCATAGTGAATTTATAGTTTTGTGTAGTTCTTTTTTTCTTTTTTTTTAAAACTTGGTACACTGCATGTGCACTTACTAGAGAGAGACCAAGGGATGGGAAAGGAGTGAGAAAGCACTCCCCTCGGGAGAATGCTAACACCACAATTCCTTCTCTTCCATTCTCCTCTCAGGATTTTGGGAATGCACATGCACATTCCCAATGTGTTTTCAAAGCTGCTAGGTGTGGGATTCAAACTGCAGAGTTGACCATGTGAGATCTAGCAGCCACAACCACCACACCACCAGCTGGCCCTGTGTCAGGTTTTTTTCACTTGCATGATTACAAGTATATAAATATCATGCCAATGTCTTGTTGCAAATACACCATAAAGTTTTTTGCTGTTCTTTTATTGTTGACTATCCAGATTTTTACTGTTATAAACAACTGTGATAAACATCTTCGTGCATAAAGCTTTTTCTGTATTTCACATTATTTCGTTAGGATAGATTTCCATAAATGGAATTACTGAGTGAAAGGGTATGACTATTTTAAAGTTCTTCATGCATATTACTAAATTGTTTTCCAAAAAGATGGTACTATTTTCACTCCTACCAGTAATGTATAAGAGTAGTTTTGGGACCAGCAGATGGCGTAGTGGCTACATCACTGGACTCCCATGTGGTTGACTGCAGTTCGAGTCCTAGACTCGGTGGCTTAAAATCATGCCGGGGTCATGTGCGTGAGTGCCCAAGATCCCGTGAGGAGAATGGGGGAGGAGGGACTGTGGCATGGCCATCCCCCTGGGGGTGATTTCTCACTTTCTGTCTCTCTGTCCCTCTCTGTCTTTCTGGTGAACACATGCACCCTATAGCAAAAACCCCTCAAAAAGAAAAAAAAAAAGAATAGAAGAGTAGTTTTACCATACCCTCTCCAGCACTGGGTAGTCTCACTTTTAAAATATTTACTAACTTAGCAGGACAGTAAATAATATCTTGTCGTTTTCATGTCTTTGATTAGCAGATTTTTTTTTCTCAAGTGCTTAGTGCCCATTTGATGATTTTGCTGTGTACATGTGTGTTTATGTGTGTAAGTTATTAGTTCATGTCCTTTGCCCATTTATTTAATATAATTTAGTGTTTTTCTTATTTATTTGTTCTCATTCTATATATCTAAGGCATTACCTACTCTCTGGCACACTTACAGAACATTAGCACACAGTTTAAAACAGAAATCAAAGAGTTAAAGGAAGGTTAATGCCCATGTTTACTGGCAAAATAAAATGCTGTTTCTCTTATATCATCTCTCCCTTTAAAACAACAAACTAGGAAAAAAGAAAATCTATATTATTGTGTTATTAGATATAGTTTGTAATTTGAAAATTAGTTTGTAGAGCTCAAATGTTGACAAAGGGATGGAATGTGGGCAGCGATGATGGTGAATGGAGGGTTGACTTAGGGCAAGATCAAAGATCTGGAAAGAAGTCAGTTAATTTTTCTCCAAATGATCATTGGATTTTTTTTTCCATAATCTTTTGTGCCAATGGCAATAATCATAGTTGATAAACTTTATACAAGTGTTAATATCAACATGTTATTCTTATTATCATATAACTATTTCTAGATTTTTGGTAAACTTAATATGAAATAAAAAACAAAACGGGCTGGCAGGTGGTGTGGTGGTTAAGGTCACTGGACTCCCTCATGGCTGACCGTGGTTCAAGTCCTGGACCTCGTGGCTTGCTCTCTGACTTTCCCTTTCTCTCTTTCTCCCGCTAGTCAAATTAGTGTTCTCTCACTTTCCCTTTCTCTCTTTCTCCCTCTAGTCAAATTTAAAAAAAAAGAATAGTAACAAATGGAGTTAAATAAATAATTCTTTAAAAAACTAACTAAACATAACCTTTTAATTGTAAATTAGCTTTTTGTTGTTTTTTTGTTTTGTTGTAAGACACTCACACTTACCTGAGAGACAGAGAGAAAGAGGGAAAGTGAGAAATCACACCCCTCCTAGGGGTGATGGCCATGCTACAGTCCTTTTTTCATTTTCCTCTCAGGATTTTGGGCACATGCACTCACATGTCCCCAGCATGTCTTCCAAGTTGCCAGGTCTAGGACTCAAACTGCACAGTTGGCCATGTGGGATCCAGTTGCCTTAACGACCACTGCTGGCTGGCTCATAAATTAGGTTTTAAAGTACTTTTTTTAATTGCCAGAGCGCTGTGTATACTCAGCAGAGAGAGAATAAAGTATCCTTCTCCCCCACAGTGGAACATGGTCAGGCCACAATTCCATCTCCTCCATTTCTCCATCCTGTTAGGATCTGGAGTGCACATGCATACACACCTAGCATTTATTTCAAGCTGCCAGGGTCAAGATTTCAATCCTGGTCAGCCATGGAGAATCCAGATCCCTTTACCGCTAGGCCACAGAGCCAGCACACAAAGCATTTTTTTATACATCATTCTTTTATTTGATATAATTCTCACAAAACCCTATGGGTTAATTTTTTTTTTGTATTCCTTTTAGAGATGAGAAACAGATGCTATATAGAAAAATTAAAGTATAAATGTTTACATTAATTAGTTTCCACATTAAAGCTAGCTTTAACAAGAACCTGTGAAGTGAACAAGATTGTACATTCACCCTTCTAACTGCAGTACTGTAAAGCGTTTTGAAGTCACTTCCGTTATTTACTGTGAGGTCTGATACCCACTGTTTTGTTTCAAAGCTTTTCACCTTTTTTAGGTATGTTATACTAAACTAGATTCATAAGATTATAGACCTAGAGTGAGCCTTAAGAAGAAATTTGGTCTAACTGACTTCTTGTTGAGCAACAAGTAAATTATCCCAGTGAAGTAGAGGATATTCAACTGTCTATACTATTCTTAATGATTCTAGGAAGAATATGTAATTATCTTCCCAAATAGTCAATTCCAATATCTGAAAATTGTTCATTTTAAAATTATATCCTGAATAGCTACTCAGCAACCACTTTAAATGTCTTTTATTTGCTTCTGGAACATTTTGAAATTACCTATGACTTCCTTTTCTTCCGAGTAGTTTAAGTAATAATTGTCATTGATGTTGGTTTATCTCAGGGGTACAATAAGGCAGTGGACTGGTGGGCATTAGGAGTGCTGATCTATGAAATGGCAGCTGGCTACCCTCCATTCTTTGCAGACCAACCAATTCAGATTTATGAAAAGATTGTTTCTGGAAAGGTAAGTAATACATCTTTTTTATTCCTCTCTTATCCATCATTTCTATACATGAATTTTAAGCTTTCTAGGTAGAAATTATATCATGTCATCAGAATGTTATTCTAAATTGAGAAAAATGTAGAACTATCCATAGTATTTGCTCTTCTGCCTACCACTCAAGATAATAGCATAATATTGAATTGTTGAAATCTTTTAAGAAATAAGAGTAGTTTTACAACAAATTAGCAAAATAATAAAGCAGTTTCCATTGCTTGTATTTTTATTACTTATAAGGCATAGGCTTGTAGCCATAATTCTTAGTATTCCTTCAAAAAAATAAATATTAGTTATTTCATGTGGATAACTCCATGGAGAAAATTAAATTTTAGTGGTGTTTTTAATAAGCCTGTGCTTTTTAAGGAGAGGTTTCTTGTTTGAATTATGTCAAACACTGTAACATTGAAAGGAATATAAAATCAATTAGCCGTTTTCAGATGGAAGTTCATGAAATTCACTTTAGCAGAATTGTTCATGTTAATTGTGATTGTAATTCCAATTGATTTTTAGCAACTATGGAACTATGGAAATAAAATAAATTTTTCTTGAACATGAGTAGATTTACCATGTTATAATATGTTATAGTTTGTAAATTACTCCATAAACCTTCCTTCTTTTGCACATTGAATCTCTAATTTTACTTCCAAAAGTATTTTCTCTAGGGTCATATACATTTACTCTTACCTTAGCTAAAATACTACAGTCAACCCAACCATGGTGGCACAGGGGTAGGACTTCACTGTGTGTGGCTGAGACTGTAAGACAAAGAGTTTAGGTGTGGTGATATGCTTGTAATCTTGGCTAACTGGAACTTTGGGACAGGAAGATCAGACATGTCAAAAATATCTTTTTCCTTTTTATTCTCTCTCTTACTTAAAACAAAACAGTACAAAAACCAATCAGTTCCAATGGAGAGGAACCTTAGTCTTCCTACCATGTAGCAAAGAAAGAATAGGCTATTAAACATTCCTGAAAAGAAGTATTCTATACATTAATGATAGTGTATATGGAAAGGGATGTTTTCCTTATTTGTTCCTTCTTACTCATACATGTGGTAGTATTACTTTATCCTTCTTTTCAAAGACCACATAGCCCCATTTGGAATATAACCAGGAAATAGAGCATCAGTTTTGATATTGCATCACCCTGAGATGTGATGTTTCCTTTTTTAGTATTTTGTTACCTTCTTAGCCAGAACTAACCCTAATCAACCTGAAAAATATGAAAGGCAATAGAGAGAAAGTCTATTTCTTTATATCTCAGCTAGATTTAGGCTCTATATTTAGTGTGAAAGCTGACCCTCAGGATCCATGAGCTTAAAATTTATATTACTTATTCATAAGGTACCTTTCGTATTAACAATGTAGTAATTTATCCTTTTTACCAACACCCAAATGTAAATCAAGGATGCTGCATGGTTGGACTGTAGGAACAAGAGACTTAGTTGATGGAATGAGCTGCCCAAACCACTAGACTCCACATCTCAACACAGCAAGATGCTCCCCAACTTATAATGGTTCACCTAACAATTTTTCAACTTTACAGTGGGGTCTATTGGGCTGTCGCCCCATGGTAAGTCGAGGAGCATCTGGACTCAGCAATGGTCTGACTTAGGAAGTTTTTACTTTACAGGGGGTTTATTTGAGTATTCAACGAATTCTCAATTTATAATATTTTCAACTTAGGATAGTTTACCAGGACATAACCCTATCGTAATTTGAGGAGCACCTGTATTGTTGTTTCATATCTGGAACATATGCAGTCTATAGGGATCACAAGATTTCCCTTGGTATTTTACCACATTTTATGGGAAACATTGCATATAATATGAGTATTCACAAATTCGAAGAATTTATATTTCATCTATGTCAAAGGTAAAAAATAAATACCTCTTAGAGATTAAATAAACTAAGCTAGATGTTGAATGATTTATACTGATAAAGTTAATAGGAAAAGGCAGAATGTGGTATTAATTTTAAATAATTAAATATCATTGCCGTCCTTGTTAAATTTATAGATCTCTAGGCTTCAGATTTCTTAGGTTTGTAATTATTTTCCTCCAGCAGAGTATGGAACTCACAATAAGAGAGTTTTTTGAGAAGAATTAAAGCCAAGGTAGTTATTTTTTTTTAAAGTCATGAAGTGAATATGTAAAATTTCAAGAGAGTATAAGACCCAAAGGTCATATGAAGGGTGACAAGAGAACTAAAATACATTAAAATAACAAATGGGAGAATATTTTAAGAATGCACAAATTATAGTAATATTTTAAAATAATGTAAGTAGGAGTAATGACAAAGTTCCCTAATATTTGCTACATTTTTTTTGCCTTTATTTATAATTATTTATAAAAGAAATAAAATTTTCTGACAAGGATGCAGTCATAATTAAATTTACATTTACTTAGAAAAACTGCTTTTAAAATGAATATACTTTATCTGTATGACTTGGCCTGTGTTTGACAGTCATTCTACACAGGGTAAAATTTTTTTCAGCTGTTTATGAATGTTTTTTCATTTCCTATAAAACTATAATTTGTATCCAATAATCTGCACATGTTCTAAAATCATAAGAATTTAGTATCTATCCACCTTGCTAGAATAACAACATAAAATTTTATCATATTTTATCATATTACAGTATCTGATTTTTTTCCCTTTATATTTAGATATGTGACAGGTTGCTTGGTGTACTTTGTTTTTAAACTAAAGGTGCTGAATTAACTCTCCCTATATGGATAAGAGATACAAAGTTTTTTCAATCCCTTGCCCTCTTTACTCATCTAAAGCAGAACTCATAGAGGTAGAAATTGTCATGAAGTGATCTCTAGCATCTGTAATATGAGAAATACAGATAATATTCACCATTTTTCAATAAAACCATCTTTTACAACACCCATATATAAACTAAAATGTTTCTCTATTCACACAGCAAAAATATTGTTTGTTTAGTAGCTAAAAGCCAAATTGGAAACTTAACTAGTTTTTAAATTTTTTTTAATTGTTCAACTCATTAAAAATTCAACTCATTTAAATTTTTAATGGTTTTAATTATCATTCAAGAACATACTTTTCATTCAGAATTGTGTTTTCTGATTTTTAAAAGTATATTATTTTATGGAGCATTTTAGATTTTTTTACATTTTCTTTTCTGAAACTATGCTATAAAGATTTACAATCTATCAGTAACTTACCAAAATTAAAACAAAACTTATTAATCAAGTTATTAATTTGCCAAAGTACATATGTTTGAATATTAGATTAAGTACTTTCTCTATTGCAATATTTTAATTCAAGTTGGCATTTTTAAATGTAGAGCAAGATGATCAATCAGCTTGTTAGATTCTCTCCTACACATATTTTGTCTTTAAAAAACAGAGGAGGCAGTATTTAAATGTCAGATTATTCATGCAATATTAAGGTTAAGGTTTAAAAATGCACAGTTGACAGAAAAGATTTCTAATTTCTGCATTAACTGTGCCTCATCCTAGCAATGTGTGTACTGAGTTTCTGTAATTAGACTTAAAATTTTGGGAACCAGCAGTTAGCGTAATGGCTATGTTGCTGGACTCCCACGTAGTCAACTGCGGTTCGCGTCCTGGACCCGGTGGCTTAAAACTCATGCCGGGGGCGTGTGCGTGCGTACCCAAGATCCCGAGAGGAGAATGGAGGAGAAGGGATTGCAGCATGACCATCCCCCCTGGGGGGTGATTTCTCGCTTTCTGTCTCTATGTCTCTCTCTGTCTGTCTGGCTAGCACACGCACCCTATAGCAAAAATCTCTCAAAAAAAAAAATTTTATTCCTTGGTGCTATCTACTCTATGACAAGAATCCGTTATGGTTTCTATGGCAACTATATCTAGCTATATACCCCCCAAAAATAAAAGTTAATATTGTGTTTAAAAATAATACTTATAAATAAGGTAATCACTAACAACTGCTGTAGAAACTATAACTTTAGATTCCATGACTTATGTAATTTTTAAAAAGTCTTAGCTTCATCAGATAGAATGCAAATATTATTCCACTTTTAATGAGCACCAACAATATTCAAAGATACACTGTACAAAATGGAAGGATATAAAAATAAAGATCCTAGAGCTGATTAATTTTTCCCAAATGTATATTCAATATTCACCAAAGGGATAATTGGCTAGTCACTTTGGTGTCAGGGTCCCCCAGACTATTTCCAAGTCAGGATTCACTAGGAAGACTTACAGGATGGAGCATACCTCATGAGTCGTACTCTTGACTAAGATTTATGATGGTGAAAAGATACAAAGCAAAATCAGCAAAGGGACGGACGGCAAAGCCAGGAAGAAACCAGGCACAATATTTTTAGTGTCCTGTCCTAGTGGAGCCACATGGGATATACTTAATTCCTTCAGCAATACATTGTGATAACATTTGAATAAGAAATGTTACCTACCAGTGAAACTCACTAGAAACCCAATGTCCAAGGTTTATACCGGGGGCTGGTCACATATACACCCTTAGCCTAGCACGTATAAAATACCAGGCTTCTAGAATGAAAGCAGATGTTTAAATAAACAGTCATGTTTGTGCAAACAGTCTAGGTACATGAGCTACTCTTATCACGTAGGGGAAGTTGTGTATCAGTGTAAGGGACTGGTGCTACCACTAAAGTTCCCATATCTGCCAACAACCAGACTTGCAAGCAGTCCTTTCTAAGGGTAACAGTCTCAGGCCTGCCGTGTTGACTCTTTTTTTGCACACACTGAGTTTGCTAAATAACAGACACAAATGCAGTTATACCACTATGCCTTTTCTAAGATGCCACACTGTTAATGCTTTTAGGGAAGTTAAAATGTCATTTTCTATTTGGCTATGACTGTAGTAGTTAAAGAGACTTAGAAGTACTCAGTAGTCATTTTCCTGAAAGCAGTTTTACTATTTGCATAAAACCTAGGGCCAATTTTTGACACTTGCTGTTGGTCATTTAAA